GTTGAGTTTGTTATCACTGCTCGGTGCCACTTGGTGGTGTGCTGGCGGCGTCTCCCTCCCTCCTCGCGCCCCTCCCCTCTCCCTCCCTCCTCCCTCCCGCCCGCCTCTCTTCCCTCCCCAGTGGATGGAGGCAGGAAGGCTCCAGGCGCGCTCTCCCCTCTGACCACCTACGGAATGACCTCAGAATGGGAGAATGTGCCAAGGCCCCCCGCCTGCTCCGCGCCCTCCGCGCCCCCAGCGGCCGCCCCTCAGGCCGCTGCTGGCGCCTCCCCGCCCGCCTCCCCGGCCCCCGCCTCCTCCCCAGGCTTCTACCGGGGCGCGTACCCGGCCCCCTCGGACTTCGGCGTGCACTGCAGCAGCCAGACCACCGTCCTGGACCTGGACACTCACGTGGTGACCACGGTGGAGAACGGCTACTTGCACCAGGACTGCTGCGCCTCCGCCCACTGCCCCTGCTGTGGCCAGGGCGCCCCAGGACCCGGCCTGGCGTCCGCCGCCGGCTGCAAGCGCAAGTATTACCCTGGCCAGGAGGAGGACGAAGACGACGAGGAGGACGCGGGCGACCTGGGAGCCGAACCCCCCGGGGGCGCCCCGTTCGCCCCCTGCAAGCGCGCCCGCTTCGAGGACTTCTGCCCGGACTCGTCCCCGGACGCGTCCAACATCTCAAACTTGATCTCCATCTTTGGCTCGGGCTTCTCGGGGCTGGTGAGCCGACAGCCGGACTCCTCCGAGCAGCCGCCGCCGCTCAACGGGCAGCTGTGCGCCAAGCAGGCGCTCGCCAGCCTCGGCGCCTGGACTCGAGCCATTGTCGCCTTCTAGGGACCCCCGAGGGCACGGGGACCCGGGGCCCCGCGGGGCTGGGGCCAGACAAAGACTCGGCCAAGGGGCGAGAGGAGGGAGCGAACGGGCGCCTGGCCACCCGGGGCTGAGCTGGGAGCGAGCAGGGGGAGGCGGCTGATGTTTTATAAATTGTAAAATAAAAAAAAAAAAATCTAAGATCTTGGACTTTATTTTTGCAGAGAGAAAAAGCGCCTATTTAAGTATGCTTTGTGTTTCTCCTACTCTTTTTTTTTTTTTTTCTTTTTATTGTAGTGATTGCAGTGGTGTTTAGCGAGGAGACAGCCACGTGAGGGAGGGCTGCTGCCCGGAGGAGGTGCCGGGCAGCCGGGGGCGAGGCAGGGCGCCCGGGCTGCCGGGGCGCGCCGGGCACGCAGCGCAGGAGGGCGCGGGGCCCGGGACGCCGATTCCAATCAGTTGTCAGACCCAGGAAGCCCGGCGCTCGGTTCTCCCGAGTCCCTCCATGGCGTGAGGAATGGGTCTTGTGAAATCCTGAGCAAAAACAAAGGCAAACTCTCTATCTCCGAAAGGGACGTTTGGGTCACATTTCCTCTCTGGGGGCGGCCTCCAAAGTTCTCAAAATGAGAAGGCAAAAATGAAAACACTTCAACTTTTTTTTTTCTTTCTTTCCCGGGGTTGGGTGTCTTGAACCCCTCCTCTCCCCGCCCCTCTGGCTTCGCTCTCTTCCCCTCCTCCACCCGTCTCCTGGACTCAGGGGTGGCGCCCGACACCCCGACACTCCCGGACACCGTTTGGGGAAGGGGTGGGGGCGGGCACGGCGGACTACATTTCCCATCATGCCCAGCACTGCGGTCCTCACTGAACAAAAAAGGAAGTCGATTCCTTCACCTGGATCCCCGGCGGCCCCGAGGGAGGGAGGGGCCGGGACCGCCGACTGCGTTGGAGACTTTTCACTAAGTTCCCGGTCAGATGTGGTGTTTGTGTGTGTGCTTCTAAGTTGCACTGTCCTGGTTGAGGCTTCGGTTGCATTTCATGAAACCAGCATTGTTCGAGGCTGTGAGAACCCTGTCCTGTGTCTTCAGCTCGATAGATTTTGTTTAATTTAAAGCCTTTTGTTGTAAAAAGGTGGGGTTCCTCTGCAGCCCCTCTGGTTCTCTGCCATCAGCACCATGTGGACTCCAAAACAAGTTGCCAACCCTTCCTTTCTTGGCCCTTCTCCTTCATTCTTCTGTATTTTTGTGCATACTGAATTGTATATCACCGGGTGAAACTGTTCAGATGATTTGTTTAAATTTATAATCTTAATAAAAAGTCGATTATAGAGGATGGTGGTGTCTTGTTTTCGGATAGGCCTGGAGGTGGTGGGGAGAACAGGGGGAGGTAGGGAGAGACCCCTACCCCCATGCAAATCTCAGCTCTCCGGGGCCTGGGCGGGCTGAATCTGCCCACATCCGCAGGGCCGGGGGTGGGAGCGGGATTGGGAGTGGGGGAATGTTGGTTGCTGGGGATGCAGCTAGTGCTGTAGGCCGCCCGGCCGTCCTCCCCAGAGGGGCCTGCCCCCCACGGGAACGGCCACCCCCGGGGTCTCCAGCAGGAAGCCAAGCCTGCCTTCAGCACATTTCCTGCCCAGCCAGGGGCGCAGGGCCTGGTCGGCCTCAAGTCTGAGCTCTCTGCGGCCGGGGAAAGCAGCCGAGGGACGCCGGGGGGCTTCTGGGCCACCCACGCTCGCCGCCCCGCGCCTCCGCCCGCTCGTCCGCACGTCTCGGGCTGCAACTTGGGGAAGTTTTTTCCTTTTCCTTTTTTTTTTTTTTTTTAAGTTGAGTTTGTTATCACTGCTCGGTGCCACTTGGTGGTGTGCTGGCGGCGTCTCCCTCCCTCCTCGCGCCCCTCC